CTCTCTCTTCTGGGTTCTCACCCATGTCAATGGAGGGACACTTGCCTGCTGCTCTGCTTATGAGACACTGCCGTGTGCATATATGATTTTCAGAATGGCTTTAAATCCCGTTTAAAATGGGGCGGGTGGGTGGAAATGACAGTGTCCATGCCTTCCTTTCTCAACTAATGTATGTTCTGATAAGTCGTGGTTTTAGGCTGCTGGAACCTTGGATTAAATACTCCCTTTTTCTAAGCTCAGATCAGAGAGTGAGCTCCTTCGGGTTATAGCCTTTTCTTCTGTTACATTAAAAGTGATCTTTCTCTTTCCCCTCCTAGCGGGTGTCCTTGAGCGCCAGTCCATAGCTAGCGCGAAGGAAGGGGGGCGAAGCTGGTAGAGCACTTTGGAGTCCCGCTGCCTTTGTTTGAGCACATCACCTGTGCTTACCGGCCAGTTTGCTTAGCACACAGCCCCTCATTCTCCCATTTGCCTCATTCGCAACGTGGCCATGATAACAGGACACACCTCAGAGGTGTCCTAGGGATCAAATGAGTTAATGTTTGTAGAGCACTTAGAACAGTATCTGGCACGTACTAAGCACTGAGTGCGTGACGAATGAAGGTTGTCAACAGTGAGAGTTCAGTCATGAGCAGTGGTGATTGTTGCTAAAAATGAAATAAAATGTAGGCACTTTTTTTTTTATAAATTGGAGGTTGAATTTTATTCCCAAAGTAAATCTCGATGTCACCTTGACTTGTATTCCATATATATTTTTTGAAAAGTTAATAAGATACCTAAAATTGTGTGCCGGGCATTATGCTGAGTGTTTTCTTTGTAAAGAGAGCCTTATTTAGCTCTCCCAGCAGTACTGTGAAGGTAGGCAATATTGTGCCCCCCTGTTACAGAAGAGGAAACTAGCTGACCTAAAGATGGTAAGTAGCTTTCCCAGGTCATGCAGCCAGTAAATGGTGTGCTGAGAGGCGCACCCCAGCATGTTGACTCCAGATCCCCGCCCAGAACCTTCTACTCCTCTTGTATGGAAACAAAGGGGAGTGAGAGTGCTGAAAATGTTAGGGAATACTCTGCCTGTTTTTCTCTTGACCACTCAGTTATGATGGGACACCCTCAGAAGGATCCACCATCTGTGGGAAAGGTCATGAAGGACTAATGTAGGGTCGGTCAGTGATCATTGCTAGTTGACTATGAGAAGGCATGCTTCATGATTGCGATGCTCATGTGCACTTAAATATAATAATACAAACTTGTATACCCCACCTCCACTGTTTCAAAGGCTGTTATGAGATGAATTGAGTTCTTCCGTGAGAAGTATTCTGTACAGGGTCCCACACACGGCAAGTGCTCAAAAAGTGTTAGCTGCGGTTACTGTTACTGTCACTGTGGTTGGGACTTGATCCTCAGAGGGGCGCTTCACGAGTCTCCCGAGTTTTCTGAGTTCTGAGAGGTTAAATGACGTATCTGCAGACACAGGACTGGTTCGTGTGTTTTGCCCCCAGTCCAGCTTCTTCTAGCCTTGATGGCGTCGTTCTGCCAGCCGCACCATCTTCTGTCCCCCCCACCCCACCCCGTTGCCAGAGAAACCTCCCGGGCCCTGCTTAGCCTCAGAGCCACAGGTTGCTTTATCCCCTGGAAGTAAGTTCTGCGGTGGATTCTCCAAGTGACTTCGGAACACCCAGGCCTTCCCGAGGGGATTCAGTCTCAAATGTGATCTGAGCTGTAAACAGATACCTTCACAAAAAAGATGCTGTTCACTCGAGGAGAGTAAACAGACTCTGAAAGACCTGTTTTTATATTCATTAATGTGAAAGACCATTAATGTGTAACCATGAAATTACACTTGAAAGAAGCTGCATATTCAAGTTAAATTCACAGTTTCCCTACTTTGAAAAACAGTTTTCTTGGAAATAAAATGAGGAGACAGACTTTGAAACTGAAAAACTGCTGCTTTGCCTCAGGTATTTTTGCTTGAAAACTGATACTTTCATGAATATTTAATTTTTAAAAACTTGGACAAGATGATTGCTATTTCAGTTGGTGTTCTGGTCCTTACGAAAGTGATGCAGTTTTGGTTTTTAGAGAAAGTGTAACATTTTTCCATCAGTGAAAATTACTCTTTATGACTTCAATTCTACTTTTGCATTGTTTAAATCTCTTGTAAAACTAATGGCAAAATTCCAAAGATGCTTCCTTTTGCTTTTTTTTTTATTATCACCTCCAGTCTGGTAAAGGCCTCACACATTCATTATTTCAAGAGCACATGTGTTGCAGGAATTTTCACAAAGCCTGCTGTCTGGTGGTTTTGTAAGGATGGTTTAGTGAGTTAAAATGGCTAAATGCTTCAGGTTATAATGATAAGTGCTTTTAAAAGAGCCTCATCAATAGACCATGTAAATAGTGAATCTGAATTGGGACTTAGTCATGATTTTGTTATGTTATGATTTTGATGCATAATTGTTGACATACAGTTTGGAGGGTCTCTGATTCCTCAGCTACAGAGTTATAATGTCACTAAAGAAAATTTGTGAATAAAAAATTAAGTGAGCTATTGGGAAAATAATCACCAGTACTTATCTGATAGATTACAATGACAGAAAGAATAATGGCTAAAATGTACCAAGGGCTTCCTCTGCTGCAGACACTGGGCTGAGTCTCTGTTACACAATTGAATTTCATCTCCATTTTATGCTACAGGAGAAACCAGGTTTTGCTAAAAGCATCTAGGAAATTGCAGAGCTAGGATCTAGATGTCGAGCTGCCTGACTCCCAGCCCAGGTTCTGATCCATTTTCTGTAGCTTCTACACCAACACATTCTGTCCTATAAGCTAAGCCACCCTACCTCGTATTTTCAACGTCTTACTAGACGCCATGACTCCATGAAGAGGGGAAACCTGCATTAGGTCCATTTTATAGGCAAAGAAACTGATGCTTAGGTGATCAGTAACTATTCCAAGCCTATACACTTAGCACACGAGAGACTTGTCCTTGTCCTTCTGGAGACCTTATGTATGTCATAAATGAAGGATTTTTTTTTTTTTTTTTTTTTTTTTTTTTTTTTTTTTTTTTTTTTTTACTGTGCTCTTTTCATGCTCTTTTGGGACTGTGTGAAACACCTTGAAATTTTATTTTTTTATTTTTTTATTTTTTTTTAAGATTTTATTTATTTATTTGAGAGAGAGAGAATGAGAGACAGAGAGCACGAGAGGGAAGAGGGCAGAGGGGGAAGCAGACCCCCCACTGAGCAGGGAGCCGGATGCGGGACTCGATCCAGGGACTCCAGGATCATGACCTGAGCCGAAGGCAGTCGCTTAACCGACTGAGCCACCCAGGCGCCCCACCTTGAAATTTTATTAGAAAACATTGTCATATGATTTAAACTTGCTATGTTTATCATGTTGGTCCTGTGATGACTCAGAATTCCTTAAATGACTTTTTCCTCTCCCTTCAAACAAAATCTTAGCAGTACCACTGCAGAATACCAGTGTGAAATATCATAAAGCAGGTTATTCCAGCCAAGAATCCGAGGTGAGGCCAGCTTTAAATTGTTGAGGCACATTAAAGTCAAATCAGTGGTGAGAATGCTGACAGCTCCTCCTCAGAAAAGATGTCTCTGTGGCACATTTAAAAATCATATCCCCCAGTGAAGATGATTAAGAACTTGGACATATTCGTATCTGTGGCCACAGAGGAGAAAAAGGGATCATTTTCATCACAGGTCAGTGCTGAGCACACTGAACTCCTTTGAATAGCTGTCCCTTTCTTAATTCGTCCAAGGATTCTTAATTTATTTTGCTTATTATCAGAAGCGTCTCCCCCCTTGAGGAAACATAAAATTTATTAAGAGAATTGTAACTTAAAATATTCAGAGCACTCCTGGCATCTTTACTTAAATGGATGCAAGAAATTTTACTGCAAGAAAGTATATATTGATCCCTGTAGCTGACTTGTCATGTTTAGTATTTTTCTCTTTGCACAAGAAGAATAGCTTCTGTAATGTGAATTTAAATGATACATCAAGCTAATAAATGTGGTTGGCCCAGCAAGTGATAAGCATAACTAACTCAATTTAAATGTCTTTTATATAAAAATAATGAACCAGTGCATTAAAGATTAAAAATGTTAATGCAATTAGCAAAAATTAGCATTCAATAAAGAAGTGTGTTTCAGTTTTGAGATGGATGATACATCATTCAATGACCAGATAAGGACTAAATTCAGGTACACTTTATTCAGCTGGCGTGTATGTTAAAAACCAAATAAATAAAAATTAAATGCTTTATTTGCCCCTTTGCAACGACGTGGGTGGAACTAGAAGGTATTATGCTAAGCGAAATAAGTCAGTCAGAGAAAGACAATTATCATATATAATCTCACTCGTATGTGGAATTTAAGAAACAAAACAGGATCATAGGGGAAGGGAGGAAAAAGTAAAACAAGACAAAACCAGAGAGGGAGACAAACCATAAGAGACTCTTAATCATAGGGAACAAACTGAGGGTTGCTGGAGGGGAGGGGTTACAGGAATGGGGTAACTGGGTGATAGACATTTAGGAGGGCACGTGATGTAATGAGCACTGGGTATTATATAAGACTGATGAATCACTGACCTCTACCTAGACATGAAACCAGTAATACATTATATGTTAAGTAATTGAATTTAAATTAAAAAAAAGTAAATGCTTTATTTGAAGAAACTTTGATAAAACAGTATGTGGCATGTAGACAAAAGGACACGCAGGTCCTTGGGGACTGTGCCAGAAACCAGGGCATGAGGTGACTTAAAACATATTGTCACCTGCCTCCTTGTGGGGGAGGTAGAGGGGATGTAGCAGGTGTGACAGTGAACGTGGGACTGGAGGGGAAATGAATTTTCCTGGCTTCAATGCTAAATAAAGTGAGCATTTTTGGTTTGGGGACGCTGACTTTAAAACAGTGGAGTATACAGTGGTGTCGCTATTTGCCTTAATGTCGTTGTGGCGTCTTGTCACTCTATGCTCATCTGCAGGTGGATGGCAAGCATTCCGATGAGGCAGCCTTGATTCTCCACAGGAAGGGGTTTGACTGCCGCTTCTCGAGCAGAGACACGGGGCTGCTTTGTTCCACAACCCAGGGAAAGGTGAGCTGAAAAGTGGTTTTTGCTTGTTGATTTCATGTGCTTTGAAATCCTTGCTTTCTGCTAATCATTCTGACAATAAGATAATGTTTCATTGCCTCTTCGTGGACTCATTCCCCTCAGCTGCTGTAATTTAGCTCAAGTCTCTCCATCTTAAGAAAGCACTTTCTCAACCTTCGATCTCTTCTCCTTGTCAGCATCAAAATGCACATCTGGAACATGGGCACGTGTAGGGGCAACATTCTCCTCCATTCCTAGGCCTTCCGTTGCCAGCCGACAAAACATCCTCTCCCCACCCCCCATCCCCCAATATTCCCTCCTCTCTCACACATGCTCATGTAGGATCTAGGTCCATGAAGTCTCAGAGGGGCAAAAGCAGGTTTTATAATAACTAAAGGTGGGGTGGGGTGGGGTAGGGAAGTGGTGACACTGGCCAGTCGGGGAGTTTCACCACGGCCCCGAAGCAACCTTACTTATCTCCAGTCAGTTGTTGTCCCAGGGGAAATGAGGGTCTAGATCTCCTGATCAAGACAGATTTGCATAGGAGTCCTCACCGTGCCAGCCAAACAGGTCTTCAGGCTGACCTGCCGGCTGCCCAGTTTTTCTGTCTCCTTTGAGCTGGTCTTTCTGATAGTTCCCTCAGGCTCTCCTTGGAAGGAAATGAACCTCCAGCCTTCTGCCTCTGGCTCTGAGCAGGTTGTGCTCAGAGAAGACAGCTGGATGGCACACAGGCAGGTCTGCCCCACGGGGCAGCTCAGCTGACCCAGCTCTTCTCCAAAACCTCACAGATAACCTGTAGATCAGACTTAAGAGATTCATTTCCAACCCTACCAACTAGAATGTGCATAGGGTCTGAAAAGGAGAGAAAAGACAATATGGTAGGGGGTCAAAATCCACTTAGGCAGATAAGCTTCTTCATTTCTCGTATCATGCCCTCCATGGAATTGGTGCGAAGAAAGTACTGATGGTTTTGGGTTTGTTTTTCATGATATTTACGCTTTACCTTATTACTGATGATGTGAGTGTACTTGGTTGTAAGCATTTGTATATAGACATTAAGGCGTCAAGTTTTAAGGGGATTATATGGTCCAGAGAGACATGGGATGAGGGTAGTACTTTCTCAGCAACCCCCCAACCCTGAAAATGGGACTCACTGACATGAGGAGCCTGTGTCCTTTCTCTCAGCTCTTTGGGAACAAGAAGAACGACAACTGTTAGGTGTAAATGTTGGGTGTAAGAGGATATGGATGTTTTTAAAGCTTGCTGGCTCATAGATGTGTTTTCTTTTATTGAAAAAGTGGCCCCTGCACGTGATAAGTTCTCAAGAAATTCAGAAGAAGAATGTAGAGTGAGCTGTCCTCTCCTGGTTACACTTCTCCTAGGTGTCCCTCCCAGGTTGGTCTGTGTGTCCAGGCACGCATAGCTGTATCTAATCTCCTTCCTCTTCCTCTTTTTATCATTAAAAGGAAACTTCAAATACACTGTTTTACTCTCCTACTATTTTCCACTGAATAAATATATAGATGTGCTACTAATCTTTCTTCAAAGTTGACCTAACTGTGCATTTTTTTTTATCATTTATTTTCTAGATTTTGGTACAGAAGCTTTTTAGCATGCTTACTATCGCAAGTCTCATACCTTCATCATTATCCTTGATGCATTCACCTCCAGACGCCCGAAATATAAGTGAGATCAACTTGAGTCCCATGGAAATCAGCACATTCCGAATCCAGTTGAGATGAACCTGGCTTTCAAATTTGGATTGGGAAGCATTGTCTTTTATACACTTCTTGGTTTGACGTGCAATAAGGAAGCACATTATTTTAGCTTCTGGCTACTGTGAGGACATGAATTCTGTGATTGTTATTATAATTATTATTATTATTTTTTTTTTTTACTAGTACAGAAAGAAAAAAAAAAGCCATGCTATAGCCAGTTTTTCTTTAAGTTCCATCCATGAATCACCACCATCAGTATGAATCGATGCAACAATGAAGGAAGAAATGTCTAAAACAACCTCTCCACAGATTGTATCTCAGGTTAAATGCTAACTAACTATATCTGTGTCGGGAGTTGTGAAGAGATTGTTATAAGTATTCATGTTGCTGATCCTTCATTAGTTTTACAAAAATACCCATTTTTACCAAAATGGAATAAAAAGCTGAAGGGTAATAGCTAATGGCCAAAATGGTTGCAATCGTTCATACGCATTCGAAAAATTTTGTGTATTGAAATATGTGGAAAAGTGCAATCCATCAACCCTTATGATATCTGTACATCATTGATCTTCACACCTTTTTCTAATGTACCACTTGACCCCTCCCTTCTCACTCTTTGTATTTCCAGAAATAGCAGATTTTGAATCATTCAATAGTAGAAAAAGAGGCATATTTTCATTACTTGACAATGTGGGATAGGTGCAATTTATTCCATTGTCACTAAGATAGAAAAAGCAATCCCATAGGTACCATAACCTCTTTTAGGTACCACAAGGTGTCTTTTTACACAGCTCATTTGAATACAAATGTTCGGAGAGGGGTTTTCTATTTTAAAAATAACCATATCAAAATAAATGTGCCTTATTTTTTTATAAGTCTTTTTAAATCTTTTGGTGTCCATATGACTGAGGAAGGGGGAGAGGGCGGGGGTGGGGAGGAGGTGAGTACTTTCTATGACACTTAAAGTGTTATCGGTTTTGCCTGACAATGCTGGCCACATTCTGATCTGTTTCATTAAATTTGTGGTGATGTTATTCTAAACATTTTGACTATTTGAATGTACTGAGATGTCAGAAAACAAAACAAGGAAGAAAAACTACTGTTCATTAAAATCCGCTGCTGCCAAGAAGATGGCAGCTTGAAGCAAGGATTTTGTGACATGCAAAATCCATACACTCTTTCCATTTCACAGGAGGTAACTCTATGAAAGAATGCTTTAAAAGGGACCCTGTTTTGAAATCCACTTATAGGTAGCTCATCCTGATTTCTTTTATTAAAGAACATGTGTGTTGAGTGAATTCCAAACTTTTGTATGTGCTAACCTCAAAGTGAAGTTCCAAGCCTATGTACCATTACAGTACTTTTGATAAAATTTATTTGGGATCATGATTAACATGACATTAACACTGAAGCAACATTAGAAACATTTAGAATATTCAGTTTTAGGATAGAAAGGATTCACTGAGTATGTACACTTTTGAAAATTCTCTTTGTGTTACCTAATAAATTTAGTATTCTCTGACTTTAAACTTCCTTTTACCTCCTGCCATTCCAGCATCTTTATAGAGAAGTTGAAACCTAATTTCTGTTTCACCAGGTAGTCTGATGATCATCCTTTTTTTTTTTTTTTTACCAAGATGCAGCTCCTACAATTATTGCTAAGTTATGTTAAGTTCATAAATTTTTTTCGCCTTTAATAATTAAGGAAACAATACTGGTGTTGATGAAGATATTATAAGGGAGTAATTTCATGCAATAAACATGTACTGTAAGTTTCCTTCCTCATTTTGGGGGATAAACAACTAAAAGAAAAAAAAAAAACAAAACACTTCCTTTTTGTGGACATCTATAGATGTTAAGATTGCCAGAAGCAAATCCCAGGAATAAGATCAGTATTTTCATTGCATCTTAAATGTAAAACCTTCCTTTGGGAGTTCACTGTGTTCTGTGGTTAAGTGGGTTTGCTTAATCATTGTGGAAATTCTGATCGTTGAAATAAAAAATCTTGATGCAATAACAGTGGTTTTGCCACTTCTGGTTGTTTGAGATGGATCTGTCCCATGTCAGTCGGGGTCTTAGTGTGTGTTGCCACCGTTCACAGGTAAAGCAGAAATTCTCTTTAAACCAGCAAATTTCTGCTTTTTATTTTTAGAATAAATCATCAGGGAAATGAGGAGAGGATGCTTTTGCTTTGGGTTGTGGTCACGAACTGATTAATTTAGTGTCTCTGGCACACCTAAAAACCATACATTTCAGTTGTGATCTCGGTGGCATATTTGTTTGCTTGGGTTTTATTACATTTGTTACCGCAGATGTTCAGTTGAGCGAGTAGGTCATTCCTGTGATTTTTTTTTTTTTTTTTTGGTAATTTGAGCTTTTACCTGCAGTGTTTGAGAGCTCGGCATTCTTGTTTTCTTCAAATACTGATTAAAATAAAATGCTATAAAATGTGTTGTGAAACATTTTAATTACCTTCCCATGTCTTTGTTGTACTTGTGTCGAAATGTTTTCACATTCCTTTGGAAGAAAATCTTTGCTTTCATTTTGATTATGTTGCTTATCTTGGAATCAGATAGGTTTTGATATTTTTCTCTTGGAAGATTTTATATGTTTTTGAGAATATGTAATATAAGATCTCTAATAAAAGATAAATCTTACCATGTACGTAGTCCTCCAGAGTGCTGCTTAAGTCTTATTTTGTAAACAACAAGAATTAGTCCATTTTGAGGGGTAGGGTGGAAGAGTGAGGGTCTGTTCTTTGTTCTTTCAAGAATGAATCACTCCACCTTCTGCCCAGTGCTAGTTGGGAAATACAGTTTTAGAGAGCAAGTGGCAGGCGGGGGTGGTGATGAGTTCGTCTGGGTTTGTGGCCACCTTTGAGTTTGGGGTGTGGGAACCTTCCGGACAGTGGTACCTGTGGGGCCTTGTGAGCCAATTGGAGGAGCAGGGTCTGGTCAGATTCCGTATGTTACAGGACAGTAGTGAGAGGAAGACGACACAGGAAGCCAAGAAGTTTCCCGTGAGCTGATCAGGAGGGAGAGCGGGATCCGGAGGCACCCCGCCGGCCCCACCCAGCGCCCAGGGCGGTGGCTTTCAGAGACGTCCTTCAAAGGCGGGAGGTGGGGCGGCTGAAGGACAAATACGCCGGAGGATCCTGTGGGTTAGCCGGGCAAGTGAGAACGTGCTAACTAGGGAGTTTGGGCTTGTTTTGGGTGACGTAGTACAGAGGCTAGTCAATTTGTAGTATGCATGTGCCAAGCTAAAAACTCGGGAGAGAACTCTCCATAAGCATCTCATTAGCATATAAGGAAAATCGTGTTTGGCTCCATCACATTTGATTATCAACACGTCAAAATAATTTGACTATCAAGACTTGTAAAGAAACACGTAGTTTCGGTAGGTATCTGCTCGCGGACTCCCGCGAACCCGTGAGCTGCAACCAAGGGAGCGCGAGCGGGACTGGCCGGCTGAACGGGCGGCCGGACGGGGGGTGGCCGAGCATCAGCAAGGCCCCGGCTGAAGCGGAACGAGGAGATCGATTGTTCCCGGTAACGAACGGTCGAGGGCCGAAGGAGCTCCAGAGACAGGCAGAGCCAAGCACGAGATGACGTCGTCCAGGATCTGTCTTCGTCTCCTGGGTGCCCCGCTGAGAGAGCGCCCTTAATTATTCAGCCAATGTCCTGGCACTGACATCGCTTCCTCTGGCTCATGTGCTAATGACCGTGGTGAGGGCGGCGTTCGGCTCGCATGAATCACGCGGAATCGCGTGAGTGAGAAATAGTCCTCCCCCCCCAACGTGCACACCCATAGAAGGTGGGGTTCTACAACCAGAGAAAAGGGCTGGGGACCTTGAATACGAGGGGGACAAAATACAGTAGAAACACATCGCGGAGAAAAACCAAATACGCAGATCGGAAGGAAGCAGCTCACCCAGTTTCAGTTCCAGGAAAGTTCCGTAGAAGACACAGACTTGAGACAGTTCTTAAAAGATGCATTTGATTCGAACAGAGACAACACGTGTGTTCCTTGGACAAGACAGAATAAGGAAAGATGGTAACAGGAGGCGTAGCGAACTAGAAATAGTTTCCTCTGCCTGGAGCAGCGCCACCCAGTAAAACTTTCTTTAATAAGGGCAAGTTCGTTATCCATGGGCTGTCCCATAGAGCAGCCACTAGCCACCTGTGGCTTTGAGCATTTGAGATGTAGTAGTGCAACTAAGGAACTGAATGTCTTATTTTAGCTTAATTAAATTTAGCAACATGTAGCCACTGTTTCAGTACCGGTCTGTACATGGCATGCACAGGACAGTAGTAGGAAATACAACTAAATATGTAAGTTAAGGTCACTTGTGCTAGAATCCTGCTACTGAGTGGGGTTCTCAGACCAGAAGCTGTGACATCACCTGGAAACTGGTTAGACAAGCAGAATCCCACGCCCCACCTCAGACCTCCCGAGTCACAATCTGCACTTTACAAAGATCCCTAGAGGATTCACATGCACACTAAAGCACTGGCCTAGAACATTCCCAGGGAGTAATTTCTCTCTGCTCTTACCGAACTTTTCCAAGTAGCTCTTGACTGTAACTCCTATACCTCACAGTCTCTAGGAAGCATCCCATAATACCTGTCTACTTGTCCCACTGCCACCCAATTCCAAGTCACCTTCGTGCACCTGGGACTCTGCCTTACAAAAGAGTTGTAAGAGGGCTCCTGCCCCTTATGTCTCTCTTTTTTCACACAGAAGCCAGAAAATAAAAGAAAGTAAAATTTGAAAAATATCTTCCCTCTTGAAAACTGTGTGTTTCCCGTTACACCTGGAATAACATACAACCTTTCACCATGGCCAGAAGCCGTGCCTGGCTTGGTCCGTGTCCTTCTCCTTCATCTCAACTCTGAGAAGGGGCGAGGGTGTTTAAGAAATCCTTTCCCGACCCAAATCAGCTTTATCTCCCACCACGCCCCCTTCTGACTGTTGTCTAGGATTCTTATGGGTCTCTAACATGCCAAGATTGTCCCTCTTGGGGGCTTTGTACTTGTTCCTTCTGCTTCAAACTTGCTCTCAAATCCTCCCCTGGCAGGCACCTTATTATTCTGGTTTAATTCAAGCATCATCTTCTCAAGAATCTTCCTTGACCAGCCAATTTAAACCAGTCCCACCTCCACTCCCTCACTGAATATTTTTATTACACTGCTTCCTTTCTGCTTAAACAGAGTCAAATTTGAAATGATGTAGTTTGCCTTCCCCACCAGAATATAAGCTCTCCTGAAGGCAAGAACCCCAGCATTT